TATAAAAATCTTATTTGTTCTTTATACATCAGTAAAATGTTCTATTTTACAACAAATTTTGGTTATTTTACAAACTTCAATCTATGCCCCTGAAGGAGAGAACATGGTATGGGGGTAAAGATTGAAGAGCCAAATCCAGGTTTAAGTCTTAGGCCATCACTTTCCAACTATGCTATCATTAAGCCTATATTTTCTAATAATTGAAACGTTATGAATAATATTTCTTACAGGATTATTTTGAAGGAAAGCACTTGATGCATAAAACATGTTCAGTAACTAGTAGCTGTTACTATGAGTTCAGTTCAGGCACTATTTATTTTAAGAGAAGCATGATGTGAAGTGACGTTTAGGAATTCCTGAAAATATTTACTTACTTTCAAGAGAGAAAATAGATATATTTGATTATAAATGGCATTTTAAAAAATATATACTATGCCATCACTACATACAACTGCACACATACACACACATACACAATAGTACTGTAGAAAAACTAATTTATATTTAAAAGTTTATGCTGTACTCTTCTAAAGTACCCAACCCACTCTGTCTTATTATTTGATATGTGCTACAATTATCTAGCAATTATTACAACCTCTATTGTGCAGATTTAAAAGGTTGATTATGTTACTTTTGGAAGTAACTAAGATTTTCTTACCCTTCTTTTAACTGTTTCAGAGTAATTCCCTACAGTCATTTCTTTAAAAAAAACAATATGTGTGTGTGTGTGTGTGTGTGTGTGTGTGTGTGTGTGTGTGTGTATTCCCAATGATTCATAACTATTTACAGAAAATGGTTAAAACTTTATGAAGGAGAAAGATCATTGATTTGTGGTCACCATCTTCCATATATTATTGATTTGTAGTATCATTTTTAATTTTGAGTTTTTATAAAAAATTCACAATTCAATGTTTTAAGATGTGTGCAAATATTGCCAAGCCAAAGATGTGATATATTGTGTGATTCCAACTATGCAACATTTTGGAAAAGGAAAACATATGGAGACAGTAAAGAGTTGTTGTTTACCAGAGTTTTAGGCAAGAAAGGATGAATGGATATTTTTAGGGAAGTAAAACTATTACATATAATATTAAAATGAAGGATACATGTTATCATGCATTTGTCAAAATCCACAGAATTTACAACACAGTGTGAACCCTAGTGGAAACAATGCACTTTGGTTGATAATCTGTCAATGTGGGGTCATTGATTATGGATATTTATTATAATAAACATTTATATAAAAGTCCATTTAGGAATTCCATCCATGAACCTCCTTCTACTTGTGTGCTTCCTCAAAATAGAATATAATCATTACACTATAGGTTGATATTGCTATTTTAATATTAAAATACCACTTTTTAATATTGGTACTTTAGAATCTCCTATTGAAGACTAATGTGTCCCCTACATTGAAGATATTGAAAGTAAAAACTTCAATGCTCTCACTAGAATCATTTCCAACACATCTTTCCAGAGATAGGAATTACTTAATAGTCAAAAGACTTGTCACAAACTAAATGTCTATTCGGTGTCACAAGTTTAAAATTAATAGTTCCCCAAAGTTATGTTGCAAATTTATATGACTCATCCAAAGAGAATATGGATGATACTCTATAAAGCTGTCATCATTACTGAAGAGAAGAAAATACTCTATATAATGTTTTTTATTGATGGGTTGCTTATTATGATTGCTGTGTTCAATGAACACCATATAGCTTCAAAAGGAATAATTTTCCAAAAAATTATGAAATAATTTATGTGAAGAAGAAAATACAAAAGAATCCAGAAATAATCCAGATGGTGATTTATGAATAGTTGGTTACTCTTTGACTTGTTAATACGGGCATGGAATAAAGTTACAATTCATAGAATGTGTGATTCATTGTTATGTTGAGGCCACAATCATTCAGAAAATAAAATTGCAGTATCAAAAGTTATAATTTTGATACATCAATTAAAATCTAACATTTAAAAAACGGACATATTCTTAAAAATAGACATTTTAAGTTATAATTGATAAGAGTGGGTTTTCACCTAGAATTTTATCCTGTATTACTTATTAGAAAATAAGAGAAATGTAAGAAATACCTTGGGAATTAACACTATGTAGAGTCTAAGGAATAAAATTTCATAATACTAATTAATAATCTTCACAATATTTTAAAATCCAAAGCAAAGAAAAATACAGATGCACAAAGATACTTAAAGTGTATGTTCTGTTCTTTATAAGTGAATTAGAAAATTAAAGGCTTAAAAAATAAAGTGGAATGAGATTTCAATTAAGAAAAATTTAAATTCCAGTCCAAAGCTGTGATAAAATTCTGAATAAAACATGGCTACTGTAATTGGACCAGGTTTGTTTCTTCATGAAGTTGTTTCTAATTCTGAAGCTGCATATGTGCAGGCACCAGTGATGTAGAATGCAAGCGTTGCCATGGTAAGTACACATCTTTTCTTGGACAGTCAAATTTTTTAAAAAAATGTATAAAGAACTTTCACTTCATTATGTTATGGAAATTGACTACGCTTTTTCAGCCATGACATATTAGCATGATGCAATGCAGCACAGGACAGAAATATCCCACGTTTTAAAAAAACTTTAGCCCGTTAAGATGGCTTATAATGCATGGAGTCAAAATAAGAAATTTCTAAGTCACATAACCCTTGTTAAATGCTGGGTGGGGGAACAAGTTCTACCTCCATTAAATTAATAAATTTTCAGTTTTCAGGACATCCCACAAGCCATAGACACCTCGGGAACCCGAACGCTGATGTTGCTAAACACACCCCCATTGCATGTGTGTTTCAATTCTTTCACTTTTAAGGAAAAAATAAAATCTTTTCAGCATCTCTACTTTCTCATTCTTTCCTGTTTGATCAGTGGTTTCCAAGCAGCATGGACATGATTGCTCCACAGTCTTTAGCAAAAAAGATCTCCCAGTGGTTCCCTTAGAGTCCGGGAAGTCAGCTTAAGGATGCCTGAATTGAGGCGTGACACTTGGATTGGGGAGGTGGCAGAATCTGTTGCGAATGGCAGCAGGTTCTGAGGCGCTGTAGAACCCACGTGTGCAGGGGCTGGAGAACTTTTCCACAGCGTCTCCCACAGGGAATGCCTCATTTTGAATGAGGGGGCCGGCTGGGACCAGGGGTGGGGATGAAGGGTAGGCAGAAATAAAATTTCAGAGGATCCAAGCCCTTCACGGGCAACCATCCACCTGAACTCCTTTCCGCTCTATTTTCGCCTAAGGTCAACTTATTGTTGCTGTTGCTGTTATTATTATTTTTTCTTTTATATGAGGACTTCAGCAACTGAGATGCTGAGCATTTCATAGGCTCAGCCTGGAACAAAGAAAAGCGAGTTCCTAATACTGTATCTCTCGGGTTGGAGGGATCACGTGTCCTGCTTTCGGTGGAATGCACTCTGCTCGCCCACGCTATAAAATCTCTTTTGTGCTTGGAAATATTGCCCAGGTTAAAATATGCTCAAATACAAATTGCTTGTCTTCCATCGGGAAAGCCATATTTCAACATTTACAGGTAACACATCTTTACCTGCTGACCCAATTACCACTGCAGGTAAATTCGATGTAAGTGTATTGGGAAAGTAATGGAAAAGAGCAGGTGGCGGAACCCGTGTCTCACTGATTCCCACCCACCCCCTCCCGCTTTTTCTAATTCCTTTTGAAGGAGAACTTCGAAAGGAACGTGGGAGTCGCAGATGGTTCCTATCTGTAGCTGATTCCCAGGAGTTGTGAAAGTGACCCCTTCCCTTCTCTGCCTCGTGCTGAGCTCTCTCGCCCAACCCGCTTGCTTTGTGACTTGATGGGGAGGAGATAGCGAGGGAAAAGAGGAAGAGGACTGAGGAGGTTCTTTTATTCCGCCCTGATGGTAGAGAAGTAGTGTAATGAAGCTATTTTGCAGCCATCTCCGTTATTATGAAGTCACACTATTTTTAAAGGCAATATGTACAATCTCATGCCCACCCACCTCCTGGTTCTTGACTCTAAAAACAGACTAGAGACCTCCGGTAGCCAGTCTCACGGTCCGGTGAGCCAGGGTGCCATGATTACCCTAATACTAATGGGCTTTCCTCCCTCTTTCCACATAGGATCAGAAACGCGTCCTGCATCCTTAATGACTGGGAGAGGAGGATGCGAAGGGGCCCAGTAATGAATTAGGAATAGTGCGGGATCACCAGCTTCGGTGGAACACAAAGGAGATGTGCGGGTAGGAGTTGTCTGGAATAGGGAGAGGGAGGCATCATTTTCCCTGACTCCTAAGGAAAGCTTTTACCCCATTGCTCCCCCACTTCTTTCAGTCCTCCAGTCTTTCATGCTCCTTCATCTCCTTTATCCCCCCCACCAAGCCCCACCCCTGCAATCCTCAATGGCATAAAGATCTCCTAAAAGCATTTTTCAAACAATTAGCTATCAAGTCAGTAATACAACACCCTCCAAGATAAAGGAACGAGTGCGACCTGCCACAAGTGTGCGTGTGTGTGTGTGTGTGTGTGTGTGTGTGTGTGTGTGTTTCAAACACACGCTTGATCCCTCACACACCTCCGGGAAAGGCTGACTGGAGATACCCAAGATAATAAAGAGGAGCAAAGCCTAACCTCAGCTGGACCAACGGTCCCAGCACTCGAGCCCAACACTTGCTCTTTACCTTCCCTTTTCGCAGTATGTAACCCTTTAGGGTCTCTCGCCAGCCCAAGCCACACAGTGATCGGTGCACTCGCCCAGCTAGCATCCCATTTCCAAATGCCAGGCACCTACCACAGCACTGCCGCCTCCGCGGAGCCACCTCAGGAGCAGCTCCCAGCGAGCGCCCAAGACTCCCGCCCTCACGTGCCCACCCCCGGCCGGTCACTGGGGTCCCACACCGTGCGTGGTCAGGGTCGGTGCGGCCACAAGCAGCGATCCGCCACCCCCACCCCCGGCACACACACACACATACCCGCAGCCCCCTTGGCTACCATGCGAGAGTGCTCTACTCACATCGCCGGCGGGAGAAACTGCCCATGAGGTTCTGGAGAGCGTGAGCCGTGCAGCTGCTAAGGGTTATTCCTTAAAGTGTTCGAGGGTCCGCAGTAGAGTAGGGGCGAGAGTCCTCGGAGGAGGAGGAGGAGGAGAGAAGGAGGAGGAGGAGGAAGAGGAGGAGAAAGAGGGGATTCCAGGCAGGTGCCACGTTAGACCATGATGCTGATGCCCTTCAGGTGGACCGCTGGTGAGGTTCCCGCGGGGAGCCGCTGAGGGGAAGCCCAGAGCGCCGGCGGGGGAGGCACGAGCGCGTCCACTCCCTGGCCTCCGCCTGCCCTGCGCGCCGCGCTAGCGACCGCAGCAGCAGCAGCGGCGGTGGTGGAGGAGGCGCAGCTCCCTCCCCGCCCCCAGAAAGCTCCACAGACAATAAATCCTGGGCGGAGAAGAGAAGAGCAGGAAAGGGACCCAACTCTGTAACACCCGCTGCCCGCCGCGGCGCCTCCGCTGGACGAGGATCCCCGGGGGCTGGGGCGCAGCGGGCTACTCAGAGGTGCAGTGTGCTTCGGCGGACGCAGGCGGCGGCGGTGGCCGGAGTGGGAGGCTGCAGGTCCCACCGACGAGAAACCCCTGTGCAAGGGCTGGGAGTCCGTGGCTTCAAGCCTGGGGTTCGCCGGGAGTGGGGTCCTCCTCGGTGCAGTGGCTCGGCGCACAGGTGCCAGGATTGGCAGGCGAGGAGGCGCTGCTCTTGGCTCTTGCCAGTGTCTCCCTGCTCTCCCCGCCCCCTCTCTTTTTTTTCCCACCCCCTTTTCCGACGACACCAGCTGCAGCTGCTTCAAAGTGTGAAAAATGTCAAGGAGATTTTCCAATGATAGGAGAGGGTGCCCATGTTCACAGCCCTCGGCAGCTTTTCTAGATCCGCTCTTGCCCCTCTGACCTCTACTAGTACTCCCCCCCAAATTGTGAGGAGAAAAAAAAAATCTCAGTCCCGTAGAAAATTGAAATGCTCTCCTCCCGGTTCCGCCGCCACAGGCTGCTTTTCGAAAACGGGACAGCAGGCCGAGCTCTCTGGGTTCCTCCAGTCGCCCGCGGCGCGCGAGGCAGGTGGCACGAGGCACCGCGCTGGGCAGCGCAGCCGCAGGCTTCTCGCGCTTGCGGAACGGCCCCGGGCGCTCTGGCGGCACGGTTGTCCTGCAGCGCCTGCGACTGGGTGGCAGAAGAGGCTCCCTGCCTGTGCGCCTGCCTGCGCGCCCCTGCACCCGCACCAGCTCAGTGACGCTGCGCTCGTGGCTCCGCAGGCTGCTGCTCCTGCTATCTCAGCAAAGAGGCGGCCGGGAGCGCCTCCTCGGGGTTTCCTCCCCCGCCCGCCTTGCCTGCTGCAGGTTGTTGGCTGCCAAGGAGAAAAGTCTTTCCTTGTGGGTCCAGTCGCTTCATATCAGTCATGGCAGAGACCCTTGTGCCAGCTCTCATGTCCCCTTCTCATTCTGGGGCTGGGTGGCTGCTCTGGGAGTGCGCAAAAACAGAAGGGTTTCCCAACTTTCCCTTCATCTAGTCACCGCCCCTCCTCCTGCCCTGATACACACAGGAATGAACGAACACACACACACACACACACTTTGTTCTCTCTCACTTCCCTTTAAACTCTCATAAGCAGCAATATGTTAAAAAAAATATAGAAGCTAGTGCTATATGTAGACTTGTATTCTCTAGACACATCTGATGTAATCTTTTAACATAGATTTATTGTCCTGGAATCATTCTTTTGTGGGATATAGCCTCTAGGTTTGTTTGCTTATTTGTTTCTTCATTATAGAAGAGGAAGACTCTTCCCTTCCCTCCCCTAATCGCTAATACAGTCAGACTGTGTGTGGCATTTAAATGCCATGTTGAGATGTATGTAAGCTTACAGTTTACCAAAAAGAAAAAGCACTTGCTTGTATTAGATTTGGAATACTAAAATCTTCAAGGTTAAATATCATTTTTTCCTGACTCCTGGGGATTGTCTAGGAAAAGCCTTGGGAGGCTGAAACCTAATCTGCAGAGAACCAAGGGGAAGGATTATTGTCCACTTTATCTTGACTGGAAAGGTGGGCTGACTTTTAAAGAAGGCTTCCCAGTGTTTGGTATAATTTGCATGTAGAAAGGAAAAGTAGTGAGAATATTTTTGTAAAGCCTGATCATTTTTTTTAAAGTGCTACAAAACACCATGAAACAGCTTCTGAAAATGGCAAATAAATGGGGAAAAACATGTCAAAAGAACAACTGTTTTTAAATTAACCTTTGTTGAGCTCTGATTTTTCACACAGTTTTGTCCTTGTGAACATCTTGCCACATCTCAATGTCTCAGCCAAATGGGATGATATGAAAAAATTTAGATATCCATCGAAAAATCTACTGAAAAATAATTTGATACAAGAATCCTATGAAAGCAATCCTTCATAGGCTTCCAATTCTCTTGAATGCAATTTACACAATACTGTCATCCATGATATTTCATTCCTAAACATCTTTCTGTAGATCCACACTTAAAAGAAGGCATAAAGGCTCATCTCAAAAAGCTGCCCTGTTCCTGAACTCAGAATTTCCTTATTTTAACTCCAGGATTCTCTCATACCAAAATATTTCACAGAAGCTCTTTTATATAAAATCACAGCCAATTATGGGTAACTGCAGGTCCTTGCAAAGAGGCCACCTACCTACTGATGAAGTGACATTCGGTGTCTTGAGTGAAATTGTTTCCCTGAGTGAAAACAAGTTTTTTTTTTTTCCTTTTCAATGAGGACAAAAGCGGTATTTGGGGGACCCCAAATTGAAAGTTGATGGTGCTGCTATAATATATTTAAGCCACACGTCCTCCTTTCTCGCTTATTTAGTGATTTCAATATTGTGCCATAAAAATTCAAATGGACAAAAGATTTTTTAACATGAAACATGAATTTTGTATTAAACAATAAAAGAAGACATCCTCTTTAGAAGAGGCTTTGAATGCCATGGCCCAATTGTTTTCCCTAAGATTCATGGATCTTGAAGAAAATTTGCCACCTTCACTATTTAAACAATGAAGCATATTGAAGAGATTTCTGTGGTTTCATGGAATTATGAAACTATTGAAATGCAAATGTAGATACTGTCTTTAAACTCCAAGTTGCCCAACATCAATGCAGATGACTGCATTGGAGAAAGTTGAAATCTAAATGTCCTCTGATGTTGTTCACAGAAAAGTCCAACAGCCACAACTTTAAAAATAAAATCAAGGTAGTTTTAACAGACTAGCTGATCAGATGGCATCCATAAATGTTTAGATATTAAGGCTATCAAAGTCTATAAGTTGTTAATCAAGTTCTTGACCCATGCTATTAAAATCTTTGAAATGACATTCTGTTTACAGGATAAACAAGACTAAGCTTATTTGAAAATAAAATACATGGTAATTGATATTAAACAAAAGGTACCAAATATTTTCCCAATATTTTTATTTCGATGCATGAAATGTCCTTTGTCTTAAAAGATGTACTCTTTGGCAAATGTTTAATTAAAATAGAACTATATACAGAGAGGATAATACTCAGCTTTAAGAATTAATGTCTTAATGAGATTGGCTCCAGAAGATATTAGTAATGGGGATAATAGTAAACTGGTCAATTTTGAGGCATGGAGATACATTTCTGAAGAACTCAGAGCTGATAGAGTCTAGTATGATAATATCAATAACAGTGGGGTACCATAAAGGCAAGTGCTGTGTTGTTAGCATTTGAAAAGCATCGAAGAAGTTTTGAATAGGAAATGGTAGTAGGTCATTAAGATTTATTAGATGTGAAAACTGATCTCTCTGATTAACCATCTGTCCTAGCTTAAGAGAGTGCTTCTTTATTATAGATTTTAATTCCTTTAGGTTTTTGTTTTTTTATTTAAAAAAATAATTTGAATAATTAAGGTATATAAAAAAACACAATGTTAACTGATGTACCCACCATCTACCTTAAGGAGAACATTATGCATTATGTATATGATTGAAGCCTCCAGTCTAGGTCCACTATCTCTCCTCTGCCTTACAACCTCATTCCTGAGTATTTTATTAATTGTACATTCATAAATTTTGTGCATTTTTGCCACTAATAATATTTTTGTACTGTTTTGCATACTGAACCCTTACATAAATAATATAACATGTATCCTTTTATAACTTGTTTTTAATTTTTAAAAAATCAGCATTATGTGTTTAAGAATGATTCATCTTGATATGACTTTCTTGTTCACTGATTTTTTTTCCCTCTGCCATATAGGTAATTGTGGGAATTTATGATATTTATATTCTGTGATAATTTTTGCTATTATAAGTAATGTTGTCATGAACATGTTTGTTTATATCTCTATGTATTTATAAAAGAGTTTTTTGAGTTTATATACCACCTACGAGTGGATTTCTGGGTTGTAAAATATAATATATACAATATTAAATTGTTCTTCAAGAATTTGCATTCATAGTAGCATCTCTGAGCATTTTTTGTTTGTTTGTTTGTTTTTTGCTTGATCTCATGGAAGTTGAGAGTAGAATGGTGATTACCAGAGTCTGGAAAGTGGATGGTGAAAGGTTATTGCTATAGTTAGATACACAGAAGGAGTTCTGGTGTGCTCTTGAACAGTAAGGTGGCTATAGATAATGATAAGATAATATGCTGTGTGTTCCAAAAAACTAGAAGCAAAGATTTTGAAATTTTTCATTGTAAAGAAGGTGATACATATTTGAGGAGATTATGTATTTACCTTGATTTGAAAATTACATGATGAATACATGTATTGAAGCATCATATGTACTTTCATTAACCATATGTTTGTATATACTAGTTAAGAATAAATTTAAATTTTGAAAAGTGTTTTTTTTTTTTTTTATCCACCTTCTGGCAATGCTTGGTATTATCAGACATTTTCATGTTATCCAGCCTATGGGATATAAAATAGTGCTTTATCATAGTTTAGATTCATATTTTATTGCTTACTTGTGAGATTGAGCACATTCTAGTGGGGTTTGCCATCTACATTTCCAATATGAATTGTTTATTTGTATATTTCACTCATTTTTCAATTGCTTTTTCTTGATCTGTGTCTGTTTATATGTGTTTATATAATATGATTTTGTATGAAGTGTCCCCCCAAAATCTTGTGTGTTAGAAACATGATATTCTATGCAGGAATGTTCCAAGGTGAAATCGTTGCATTAAGAAAGCTGATCCTCATCAGTAGATTAATTCATTTGCTGGATTAATAGTTTGAATGGGCTACTAGTGGTAACTATAGGCAGGTGCACATGGCTGGAGGAAGTAGATCACTGGAGGCATGCACTTGAGTATTATATTTGTCTCTGGCTTTTTATCAGTGCTCTTTTCTCTCTTTTTCTCCTTTCCTCTCTCCTTCCCTCCCTCCTTCTCCTTCTCCAGTGCCTTTTGCCAAGAATCTTTCCTCTGCGGCAATGTTCTGCCTCACCACAGGCCCAGAGCAACAGAGTTGGCTAACAATGGATTGAGCCTTGGAAATGGTGAACCAAAGATAAACTTTTCCTTCTTTAAGTTATTCTTGTCAGGTGTTCTGGTCACAGTGACAACAAAGTTGACCAACACTCTATGTGTGTGCATGTGTTCATTGATTCTGGATTCTAATTGTTTTGTCAGTTACATCTCATCTTTTGTTTTTTTTTTTCCTCAATATGTGCATATTTTTATGAAAAGAAGCTT